CTTGCAAGCGAGAGACTTGCTCCTGTCGCAGGCAGGCGAAAAATGCTGTCGACCCGTACAGCAGATCAGGCATGATGATGGACTTCATGAACTGTGTACGGGCCTTCAGACTTAATGCTCGCCTAGATCGCCAGAGCGCCCCGATCTTCTGAGATGCTTTCTTGGCGATGCTGTCCACGTGTTTCTGCCAGTTGAGGGAGCTGTCCAGCAGAACTCCGAGGTACTTCGCAGTGCTTGCTGCTGGCAAACTAGTCCCATTGCAATTTACAGGAATGGCTTCACTGTGCATGCTCAGGACTTGGCTCTTCGTGGAGTTCAGGATGAGGTTGCGATCCTCTAGCCAGTCAGCCACTGCAGATACTGCCCGGGTAAGCGCCGCGGAGCATTCAGTAGGCAGCCGGTGGCTGAAGTACAAGCCAATATCATCCGCAAACTGTACTGTGGGCACGTCACCAGCAACCTCTGGTATGCCGCGCGTGTATACACTGAACAAGATTGGTCCTAAAACGGATCCCTGTGGAACACCGCATGTGCATGCATTACAGGGTCCGTCCTGGGTTCCAATGCGCACTTGCTGGGTTCGATGGCTGAGATAGTTGGCAAACCAACTTAATGCCGTTCCAGAAACGCCAATGTCGAACAGGTCCTGCAGCAGCGTAGGGTGACTGACTTTGTCAAACGCCTTTGACATGTCAAGTAGGCAGATGCAGCAAGGCAATGCAGAGTCCTTTGCAGTGAGAACACCATCCGTTAGTAGCACAAGTGCATCTTCAGTGGAGTGATCCTTCCTGAAGGCAAATTGGGTCGGTGGTAGAACATGGTGTTCATCGAGGAATGCCACAAGCTGCCGCTGCACGAGCTTCTCTAGCAGCTTTGAGGCAATCGGCAGCAGGGATACTGGACGATAGTTCCCGGGGGATGTTGGGTCTCCAGACTTGTACAGAGGCCGGACCAGGGCCTTCTTGAAGGCAGAAGGTACAATGCCCGTTTCAAGAGACTCATTGAAGATCCGTGTGAGGGATGGCGCCTTTAATTTATACTATGTAACTACACTGATGTCACTGCTGACAATGCTTCTTATCACGGGTAAAGCCGCCACGATACAAGCACAGGCTTGCCAGACAACACAACAGTCGCGTCCCATGGTGTCATTTGCAGAACTAACTTCTACATTGTAATTATTTGTATACTACACGCAGTAACCAGTTCATGCTTCTACGTGCAATCTGTTCGCCGGTATAAGTTATTGATCAACGCAGCTCAAACTCAGAGGATAAACAAATATATTGGTGACAGACAGACTTGGCTACGAATATTCTTGCCTGGAATATGGCCTATGCTTTGCGGCGTGCCCATTGTGTGACTTTGGCTCGGGTACATGCACAACGGAGGGTTCGTTGAGCTGCTACTTCAATCATGTAGACAAAACCCTTGGGCATTATGCTGAGTGCCCGTTTAAAAGCCTCACACATTCTGTGTTGGTTCGGAATGCTACCTTTTTCGTGAGGCATGAAGGCTCAGGTTTTGAAGCTGATGCGAAAGAAGAGCCGGATTTCACTGAGAAGGTGCTTACTACAGTGCTGGCAACTGAAATCCGACCCCTGGCGATGCGTTCACATTCTAGCTGTCTCTATTTCGTAGTTTTACTATCCCGTTTTGGGTCTTTGCGATGTGAGCGCACCGCTCAGGGGGTTGGATTTCAGTTGCCAGCACTGTAGGATGCGCACGATTACAGTACTAGTGTACAAGTCATGTACAAGTCATGTACATGTAGATCTACCGGTATACTATTGAAGTGCTTCCCCAAATTTAATCCAGCACAACAGCTCAAACGAAACCACCTACAATTTGTTGTCTCTCAGCAGAGCCAGTCTACGAGAAGAAGTCTACAGTCTAAAGCAAAGGTCAAGCTGAAAGTCTTTGCCGTTCTCATTGCTGATTGTTTGCAACCAGGTGATTCAAGTAGGCCATAAGCCCCTACGGCAAAGGTTGAGGAGTTGTGTGACTATGGGCAAAGGCGTTGTATAGCATAGATCTAGATCGGGGTCCGAATAGAGAGTTGCACGTCGGAGAGTTGTACGTCTACTGATTCGTCGACTTGTTGAAGAAATAATAGTTGTGACTTTAGTCTTTGAGGGCCATAGACTTTGTAATTGCCTTTGGCTTTAGCTTGATGCTTGATACAGTTCTGTAGATTTGTAAGATCTACATGGTGGCTGAGCTGTGTGATTCCTGATTCGCTTGATCCGATGATGATAAAGACATCAACAGGACGAGGGTTCAGTACAAAGGTCAAAAGTTCTTATGCTCGGTATTCTGCACCAACAATAGGCAACATATCGCTATAATTATAGCGGTATCACTATCACTTATCAGGCGCCTAGCCTCGGTAGGTCTACAACGGCACGGACGATCTAGACTCTAGATCTACAGCACGCGGTAGACTACAGTTTGACAGAGTTGCATGCGCATGTGCGCATATGCATGCAGCGCCTTGGTCACTATCCGCTTTCCACTCGACCGCTAATCTGGGCTATATTGACTACATGTGCACTCTACGATCTAGCCTATTCTAGGTCTACGGCGATAAAAAACCCTCCAATAAACTTTGCACTTTGACCCCGTAAGAAAGCAGGCACTTCTTCGTTTTCTCTCTTCCACCGTCGAAGAGGACTGGCCAGAAGTGTTTGCGTTGTGCTGGTGGCAGGTTGGAGGTTTTCTTTCGTCGAAGAGTTTCCGTCTGATCTTTTTCCGTGTGCAAGGCTATTGCGAGAGTCTGTAGCGAAGTGCTTACCTGTATAAATTATCCCCTTCCAAGGTGGATTAGTCATCTTCCTTTTTTTGTTGTTGTTGTTGTTATTAGTCATCTTCCATTGACGTTACATTCATTTAGTGAAACGCTGTGTTTTGATTTGTAAACCCACCGGCGGTTGTCTTCCGACTCCCCGGTGTGGGGAGCCGGGCCATTGGGCCTCTCTTCGGTTCCAGCAGCCCTATTCCGTATTGACGGGGTGAACTGGCAAGTGTAGGGTAGAGAAAAGAGTGCCGCTGAGTGTTACAGCGGCGTATTGCCTGGGAAGGCTAGCTTTCGGACGGCTTGGATCGTTGAAGCGAAAGGACTTTCGAAGGAGCATTGCCTCGTGAATGAGTGAGTTTTGTTTGTACATTGTACAATTTGTACTACATGTATTGTTGTGTATGTAGGGGCCCAGTTGGGGGCTACAAGGAGAGCGGAGAGAGAGAGAGAGAGAGAGAGAGAGAGAGAGACACCAGGCTGTGTGTTTCCGAAGGAAGTTGAAGCACCCACATGTCTTGTACTCACACACACACACACACTCTCTCTCGTCTCTCTCTCTCTCTCTCTCTCTCTCTCTCTCTCTCTCTCTCTCTCTCTCTCTCTCTCTCACACACACACACACACACACACACACACACACACACACACACACACACACACACACACACACACACACACACACACACACTTGTACTTGTACTTGCTCACTGCCAAAACTGGTCACGTGGGTCTCCCCGGGAGAGGGGAGAGAGACTCAAAAAGGAATCTTGGAAAGATGACTCAATTGGTTATTGAACCGCCCAACGGCCGACACCCCCTGAAATCCCCAAACTAGGGTGGACTTGGAATGATCCCACTTATGGGCTCACCACACCTCAGTAAGTGGGTGAGGACAAGGTGCAGAAAAAGGATTGACGGCATCAGGGTATCCGTCCGGGGATCCAACTGCAGTTACCCCTGCCCCCAGTGAAGGTAATACTTGCTACTAGTGTGTGTGGCTAAATCAGAGTGGATCTGATATAAGCTTCACTAGCACCATTGATTACACAAGACTTATACAGTAGCCAGAAGTAGTCCATGGTTAACAGGTATGTATACTTCAAATAGAAAGTATATAAACCCTGAAACCAACAAAGGTGGTAGGTACAACAATACACCTTCAAGCAGCCGAGCCTGTCGGCAACAGACCCAACACTATCTGGCATAAGTGTACCCACCAACCGAACTAGCTGGCACACACACACACACACACACACACACACACACACACACACACACACACACATGCACAAGTGTGTGTGTGTAGGAGGCGTGCAGACCCATAGTCAGCTCCTGATGGGTGGTATTGTCTGCAGCAGTCGCAGCTCAGCTACACGCCCAAACATTTTCTCATGCACACTGTCAGTATCATCGGAGGACGCATCACTACCTCTATGAATCATGTAGGGTTGTTGTAGCTACACGTTCCTCTGCCAGCAGATGCACAGGTAAAACAGCGAGCAGAGTTGTCCTAACTGACCGGAACAAGAAGAATAGTTGGTGAAAGATATACTAGAACGGATTCAGGAGTGCACGAGAACACCTGGGTAGCTTGTTAGCACTTCCAAATAGAACGCTCGACATTCCATGTGCACTGGAATTGATAGTAATTAGTATGACCTTGGCTTTACCCGAAGTACCAGTGGTACCCACCAGGCCTGACATAGAGTCGATGTATGAATGAATGTAAAGCGTTGTTACTGGTGTAATGGTCTGTAGTACACTAATATCTCGTGTACACAGGCCGTCAGGGGACCAGGCGCTGCCCGTAACTTTGAAATGTCCGTAACTCCGAATCACGTACATTTTGATGCGGAAAGGCCATAGATATGGCATATGGTGACACTAGTTCCCACAAAAAGTTACAAAAGAGTAGTAATATTTCCACTAAAACTCGTCAAAAGGCTGCCCGGTAGACCAAAGTGGCCGTAACTTCAGGGTCCGGATAACCGAGGTATGAGTGTATATAGTTTTTTCAATGTGTGTGTGTGTGTGTGCTTATGTGCGTGTGTATACATGTGTGCATGTGTGTGTGTGCATTTTGACAGCAGGTCGATCATTGTGTCAGCAACATGCCACTTCCGTTCAACCCTCCTCCGCCTCGGTCTCAGCTAACTGAGCTGGAGAAGAAACGTGAAGAGAACATTCGTCGCAATGAAGACATGCTGATATCCCTTGGTAAGCGAGAGCCTGTTTGTCACATAGCAGACATTCTATTTTTCCACAATCTCCACGTCTGTGCGTTCGATTATGCACTTGAATTGATTCATGAATGGAATCTCGCCGTTCGATTTCATGTCATGAGCCCTGGAATCGATTCGGAATCCATTCACCCTATTCACATGGGGTGATGTGAACAGCCAGGGGTGATTCAAGAATGGATTCATGATTCAATTCGAGGGCATAATAGAACACATTCACTGGCCACATACTAGAGTAGGAGCGTGCCAAAGTTTGGCTTGATCAGTTTTCAGTTGACCATGTGTTGACGTCGATGAAGACAGGCTGCAATGTCATGTACAAAAGCCATGCAGATAAAATAGAAACTGTAAATGGGGAGGTGATACTTCATGCAAGTGTGTGGTGTTCTTGGATCAAACGGGCGGGGGGGGGGGGGGGGGGGGGAGGTAGAGGGACCGGGAGGCTGGAATGATTTGAGATGAGCCAAGCAAAGTGTGCTGCTTGAGGAGAATGCACAGAATAAGAACTTTGGTGTACTCTTGTCGCAGTACGGTACTTTGGGTACCTCACACAGAATGTGTTGTTGGTGCATGCGACTGTTGCTATTGTGTGAAAATTCGGTCTTTGTATCGAGCTCGTCATGTCCAGTTGTGTTTTCGTCATCTCACTGTATAATATATCGTCGTTTCTCAGTGTTTTCTCCGGTTGGGCACTGGGCTGGGACGTGGAGGAATCGGCCATTTTTTTAAAGACACTCTTTTAAAGCCTTTAGTTCTGCTGTCGACCATCTGAATGTGGAGATGGCACGGGGCTGGGAGTAGTAAGAATCCTCCAATCACAACAGTAATGCAGGCCGTCGCACCACCTTAGGAGGTGGGGCGGCCATGGAAGGGGGGGAGGGCCCTCCCCGGAAAAAATTTCAAAAATTGAAGCCAATTGCAAAAGCCAATTGCAAGCATTTTCGGGCATTTGGTGCCATTTCAGTGGAACTGCAATGAAAGACTTTTGATTCCGCAACAAACCAAGAAGACGCTACAATCGGGGACAAGGATTCTTCATTACCCTCCCCGGGAAAAAATTTCAAAAATTGAAGCCAATTGCAAGCATTTCCAGGCATTTGGTGCCATTTCAGTGTAGCTGCAATGAAAGACTTTTTGATTCTGCAACAAACCACGATCGGGGACAAAGAGTCTTTGCGCTGAGCTGCGATCATCGCGCTTTGTTGCAGTGTGCTAAAAAAAAACAGCCGAAAAAGTGGGGCGGCCTCAGCCGCCCCGGCTGTGACGGCCTTGTAATGGCAGTGGTGGCAGCGATTCACACCCATGCCACCAGAGAGACCAGATATGGCACTGGGCTGGGAGTTGCAGGAATTAGCCAGGTTTTTTTAAAACACTCTTTTACCCAATGCTGTAGACAGCAAGCTGTTTCGGCCACAAGGCCTCATCAGTACAGCCACGAGCTTTTTCAACACTCTTTTAAAGATTTTCGAATTTCTGGTGGACACCTTGAAAATAGCACAGTATTGGTTTCAACTTTCAAGATTCGTTGATGTGTCTAATTGTAATGGCTAATGGTGTTCTGTTGCTATTACATGCAGGTTTGCTGGCACCGAATGGATCATTTTTCCAAGCCAAGAAGCGATCGAAGCAGCTGTTGATGGAGTCCGAGAGCGAGTCAAGCGAAGATGAAGAGTGGACACCACAGGCGGAATGGCAGAAGAGAATGAAGAAGCAGCCAAGAACATCATTTGGTGAGTTATGGTGTTTTAAAGTTGGAGCTGTGTTGGAAGCAGTGTTATTTCCCCCGTTGTCAATCTTGCCCACATGTAGCACCATACCAAACATACATAACCCCCAAGAGTGTGCAACTCATACCCGCTGTTCGGCCAGAATTTCGAGTTCACGTCATCGGTATGATGCAATGCTCTTCACACAAGTGATATACGAAGTTGGACATCACGCGTTGTTCTTTCACGAGTTTGTACCTAAAATGGGGGCTTGTCCGCCACAGGTCCAGGATTTGTCTGGTAATAATTATGTGTACGAAGCGCGTTCCAACATAACATGACGTCAACTTGAAGTTCTGTCAGGACAGCACCCATAGTGGAGTTTTAGTCTCGGAGGTTATGTAATCACGACCATACCAGGGGCGTAGCAGCCGCTCCGGCCGGTCCGGCTTTGGCCGGATCACTTTTTCGCCCGACCACGACCACCATAGTAAAACAATGCCAAAAGTGCCCAGAATGCCGGATTTTGCACCCTAATTTCAAAAAATTCCGCGGGGGAGATCCCCCCGGACCCCCCTGGCCTAGCTGGCCGGACCACCGCCAACGGCGGTGCTACGTGCCTGCATACTAGTAGCTGCGCATGAAGTAAATTTCTGTGAAGTCTTTGAGGCAAGTCTTCTTGACGGACAGTGGTATGACCACCACTTTACTATCCCTACTCCCCCCTCCCCCCTTCCCCTACTCACACCCCTACTCTCCCCCCCCCCTCCCCTACTCACACCTTTTCATTTGCCCCTTTACAAGGGTGCCACATGTCAAGAAACTAATTGCTGTGCAATGGGCGGTAAGTTCAGTTTATAACGCACGAGCGTGTGTAGCGCCTTATCCATGGCAACCGGTTCCATTGCACTAACATCTCACGCAAAAATGATTTGTTTTCTTGTGTCACTGCAGATGAGGTGGAAAGGTACAAGGAGAAAGTTGCCAAAGGAGCAGCAACACGCAATCAGGAACAGGTATGTTGTATAGACACTACAGTCGGGGGGCAAAGCAATCTGAAAATTAGAAATATTGTCACTGTGTTCTCTGCTCAAGTTGCCAGTTCTCAGAGATTAGTTGCGTTTTGCCAGCAGACGTAGAGGGATGTAGCCCGCTGATATGACAGCTGGACGGCAAGGAAGATGTGCAAGCGCGTGTGCAGTATTGTGTCTAGCTGCGTCTGTGTGTGTGTATGTATGTGTATGTATGTGTGTGTGTGTGTGTGTGTGTGTGTGTGTGTGTGTGTGTGTGTGTGTGTGTGTGTGTGTGTGTGTGTGTGTGTGTGTGTGCGAGTGCGAGTGCGAGTGCATGTGCGCGCTTATGGACTCATAAGAGTATGCGTTCGTGATATGTGCACTCATGTGTGTGTGTGTGTGTGTGTGTGTGTGTGTGTGTGTGTGTGTATGTGTGTGTGTGTGTGTGTGTGTGTGTGTGTGTGTGTGTGTGTGTGTGTGTGTGTCCAACCTGTCGGAAGGCTACCTTCTTGCCAAAGCATTTGGAAGTTGGACTAGTTTCGGCTCCACAGTCCAGTGTGCCATTACTATAATACTGTAGCTGACATGGAAATCCAGTCGATTGACCGGGGCCGGCGTCCTCGGCGCGTACAGAAAAGCTGCATGCAGTGCACAACGTCATGTTAAACCGATGGGACCAGGGCGCTGCAGCGCAAAATGCATGTTCCGCTTATCCACGGCTGCATGGTCAGCGCCCTGGGGCCGCTAGAGGTGCGACCGGATTTCCATGTCCACGACAGTAGCTTTCATGGCTGAGATTGTTGGTATGTCTGTTGACTCTGGGCTCCCAGTACACAGTTGGCGAGGCTGGTTGGTAAAGTAACTCCAATTTCACTTCAAGGTACCAGTGCATCTAGTGTCTGCTTCTATTAAAGCAGCGTGCTGTCTATACTGGTTACCCCAGCAAGTGTAGGGTGTGCATAGGTAACTAACTGTCTCGGCCGTTTTATGCCGATGTACTCCGTGTGGTGTAGACCAGGTGTGCATCGGTGGTCTATTCACATGGCTTCGTCAGTTGTGTGGATCAAAACAAACAATGTGTGTGGATTAGACAGTTATCTGGTGGAAGTCTTGATTGGTCTCATGCAGATCTTGTTCGCTATCGTTGCTATAAGAGAATATCTGTGGGTGCACATCAGGTGCATTTGCAGATGTGAGTGCTTCTCTTGCGACGGGCGTATACATGGTACATGGTGTGTGTGTGCGTGTATGTGTGTGTGTATGTGTGTGCGTGTGCGTGTGTGTGTGTGTGTGCGCACGCGTTTGTGAGTGAATGCCGTGCGTGCCATGTGTGTTGTGCACGTGCACGCATTTTGTAAATTGTTCAAAAGGCTGGTGCTGACGATGATGTGCATAGTGCCATGGGCGACCAATCAGAATCTTTGGGTGATGAGAACTCAAAAAAGGCGGATAGAAACAAGCCGTAAGTCCTTCTTGATCCCTAGAGAAACATCACTTCCTTCATAATTTGCTCCACATGTACTTAGCTATATGGTGATGCTGTTTTCTATGAGTTCATTCAGCTCAAGAGCTGCAGCAGTCTGGAGTCATCAAGTCGAAAACTTCCGTACATCCGAACATGTCCGGTCACATTGGAGAAAGGCCAGATATATAATGCCATAGCAAACCTAGTGCCTGTCGTGCTTCCTCAATTATCTGAGTCAGTATTGAGCACAGTCGGAAACTTGGTTTTGTCCCACAACTGCACCAGGTTTAGTCTATCTACCCCCCCCCCCCCCCATCCAAACACACAGCATCACCCTTCCCAGCATCACCATTCCCAGCATCACCGTTCCCAGCATCACCGTTCCCAGCATCACCGTTCCCAGCATCACCGTTCCCAGCATCACCGTTCCCAGCATCACTGTTCCCAGCATCACCGTTCCCAGCATCACCGTTCCCAGCATCACCGTTCCCAGCATCACAGTTCCCAGCATCACCGTTCCCAGCATCACTGTTCCCAGCATCACCGTTCCCGCAACCTGGGGAAACTGGTGACCGCGGTCCCCTCACTCTTCACACCAGGAGACACACTCATGCACAGCCTCACAGAGAATATGGAGAGGAGAAGGGGTTGGCGTCGACATACCGTATTTCCGCAAATAAAAGGCCGTCCTCATATACAACGCCTTCCTTGTATACAGGGCCGGGGCAGGGGGCGATTGAAAAAATAAAAGACCGTCTCCGATTAGAAGACTGGGCCTACTAAATGAGTCTTTGTTCTTGTGTTAAAAATAGAAGACCGTGCTCAAACTGTGGGAAAAAATAGAAGACCGTGCTCAAACTATGTAGAAGAAAATGGAAGAACGGGGGTAAAACTGTGTGGCCAGAAATAGAAGACCGGGGTCAAACTGGGTTGAAAGAATAAAAGACCGTCCTCGATTATAAGGCCGGGTTAGGACGAGGTTGAAAAAATAGTAGACCGGCCTACTATTTGTGGAAATACGGTAAGACAGGAGACAGGGGGCACAGGGCCAAACCGGGCACGTATGCGGATTGCGTTAGTGAGGCTAATCAGAATACTGGTCTCGGAGTCATAGCCGCACAAACGCACCTCAGGGAGAAAAGACGGAAACAGTATTTTCTACTGATGTCTTCTGCAGGCTTGTTCTTGATTCTGAGGAGACACCAAATCTGGCATGTCCGATGCTGGTAGTTCCGGAGCCAGAGGAAGTAAATGACACTGAGAGGTCAGCAGGCGAGCCTGCGAGCGATGGTGGCTCACGTGTACGATATCCAAGACGGCAAGCGGCTTCTAAGGTTTCGTACAATGAAGCAGAGTCAGATGATGATGAGTATATCTGTAAGTCATTCCTTTGCCTCTGTGAATGGTTGTGCATCTGTATATCAGATCTCTGGTGTTGTGAATTGAACTACACTCACACCTCGTCTATCCGGGCGGTCCGTTACCGGCCACTGCCCGTAGCTCTGAAATGTTCATAACTCCGAGTCACATATATTTTGACGGCGAAAGGCCATAGGTATGGCACGTGACGTCACTACTTCAACAAGAAGTAACAAAAGAGTAGTAATATTTCCACTGAAACTCGCCAAAAGTGTGCCCGGTAGACCGAAGTGACTGTAACTTCGGGGTCTGGGTAACCGAGGTATGAGTGTACTGTATCACCGGCTTGCTATTAAACTCTACACGAGAGGTTAGGGTTTTTTAAGTTTAACGTTTCCGCGTGGGGTTACATTTCCAGGACCCCGCCTCATTCTATCATGTCTTCTCTGGGAGTGTGTGTGTGGGGGGGGGGGGGGGAGGGGGCTGTGTTCTGTGTCAGTCTCGGTCAAGCACCAGTATCGGTGTGTGGGCGAGCGTATGTCTATCTGTCTGTCTGTCTGTCTGTCCGTCCGTCCGTCTGTCCGTCCGTCCGTCTGTCCGTCCGTCCGTCTGTCCGTCCGTCCGTCCGTCTGTCTGTCCGTCCGGCCGTCTGTCTGTATGTATGTCTGTATGTCCATCTGTTCATCTGTATGTTTGTCTGTCTCTCCATCTGTCTCTCTGCCTATGTGTCCGTCTATCTGTCTGTCCATCTGTCTGTCTGTCTGGGCACCTGTTTGCTCACTTATGTCTCATGCATGCGTCTCTGAATCTCTGTCCTCGTGTGCAACTTGTGCATGTATTACGTGTATTGGGGAAGGTGGGCTGTCTTTAACGCTTTGGCATCCATGGTTTGATTTCGAACCATGGGCATTTTGTATGCATGTGGGCGCAGTCAAACTTTCGGTTCTCGGCCAAATCTTCATCAAATTCAACAATAAAGCTTATGCCGGTTAGTACAAGTTGTACAGATCCACGAAATCCCGTAGACCCGGTTGGGTGTTGAATGTGCAGGACCCTATTGTGTTTTCTGCTATTTCCACTAAGAAATGGGCCCTGAAGGAATTTCATACGAAATCCTTTTCTGACAAAGATCTAGCTAGTCATTAGTTCTAACCAAAGTGAAGAACCTGGAAAAGCGATTGCTTGCCAATAAGAGGTCAAATGCGCATGCATAGCACACAATGAATACCCAACCGGGTCTACGGGATTCTACGGGATTTCGTGGATCTGTACAACTAGTACAAACCAGCATAAGGTCTATAGAAGGGTCTAGGTGGTAGACAAAACTCTCACCTATCACCCCGGACAGGTCCAAAGTCTCTCCGATGAAGTTTGAGTGAGCGGCGAGCGATCGAACATTTTTGAATTTTCTGCGCTGCGTGCTGCGAGTCAGCAGTGCGTGAAAAAAAGGGATTTTCCCAGCTTCACGATGAGCGGCACGTGCCAGGACCGGCGCGGCGCGAAGTCACGGCAAGGTAAGCTTCTACTCGAAAAATTTGAACAGGTCCGAGCTAGATTCAGTGAAATGACTGCAGGAGACCGATTTCGTCTCAGATTTGGAGCTGGATTCGCGTTTGGAGCGCGTTGTGGCGGACAATGAGTAGTGCTCTTGGCGAGTTTGGGCTCATTGTGTTTCTCTCATCAAGAGCTTTCCAACGAGCCCAAGATCTTCAAAATCGGTGAAGTAGAACCAAAGTTATGTTGGAAATTGATTGCGCATTTTCGTGACTGCCACACATTCTGCGGAAGCAAAAAAGTTATGGACTCCAAAGGGTTAAAGTATACAGACTCGGGTCTAGTGCATAGATTTGCTGTACCTGGTCACCTTTGCATGGTTATGTGCACATCTTAGTCTGACTCAGCATGTGCCCAGGAAGTGACTTTACGCAAGATGTTACACGTGCCAATGTCTTTATTATGATCAGAGGAAAGGGGACATACCAAGGGTAGAAGAGATGGTAGTCTGATGTTACAATGCATAATAATGGAGTGCCTGATCATCATGGAGTATATTTCGTGCTATTGCAATGTGTAGCAGAAGCACCCATATAATTATGATCCATAATCTCAGTAAATGGACCTTCAATAGGGGTGACATTTTTTAAATTCGCTTTTCTTTGGAAATGTACTTTAGTATGTAGACTTCCATGTGACAAAGTTTCACATCAATACTAGCCTTACAAGTCCCTTGAATTCTCCATAATTATTGTAGAATGCACTCTAGTTGTCACTGAATAATTTGGCTATGCACATGTATACAGTATCATAGTTGTTGTGCGGTTCGCGAATCCCGCGGTCACTGAGGCAGCCAGCTCATCCAGTACCTACTTTTTGAAGAGCGGGCTGTGACTTTGGCGAGAGCAGCATTTCAGCTGGCGGAGCGACATGACAAGATTTTCAAGCGGTCCCTGTCAAGCGCAGCAAAGTGATTGTCACCAGGGTAGCTACATCCGATTGACATCCAGTCCACGATCTCTGCGCCGATTAGGGCTTCCTTGATAGGTGACCCTTCCTGCTCCAAGTCTTTGTAACTCTCGTCTTTGTCGTTGTCAGGCAGACGGAGCTGATGCTTCTCCGCCGCCGGTGCGTGCGGGTCGTCGTCTCCATCATCGTGCTCACTGTCGGGGACATTGCAGTATAACGAGTCATCGTGCTCATCCAGGAGAGACGTGTCCTCATGCGGGACACCAACAAACTCAATGCTACATCGTTACTCGCCATTCTGACTGCCTTCGATCGATCAATTCGATCAATTGATCAATCTAACCTGCAAACAAAAAATTCAAGATTGACTTCGTCTTTGACTTCACTGCCTCGGCTCATATTTTGGTGCATAGAGCTAAACATGCATCCTCCCACAATGTTGAAATTGGGCATGAGGAAATGATCGACCCTGTAGGCAACTCGGGGCCTCACCACCACCAAGGAGCTGTTTTCAGGATCGCTGTGCTGGAATCAGCATTCGAGGCATATTGTGCGTGCAATCAAGCAAAAGACCAGGGCGTCACACAAGGTACCAGTACGAACACGGTTGTATTACTTTTTGTCCAGTATGGTCCACCCAATTCACCCGAAAAAGCAATCAAAGAGGGCTAAAATGAACCCTGTTGGCCGAAAAATTCGAACACGCACGCGCGTGTGCGTGCACGCGCGCACGCGCGCACACACACACCACAAATATATTTACATGCTTTTGTGTGACATACAATGGGAACAGTGCTCTATTTCTGATGCCGACTTGTAGATTGTGAAGATTGCGATGACTGGTTTCGTGGAGATTGTCCCAACTGCGGACCATTGCAACCGCTCAACAGTGAAGCAATGGGTAGCAAACCAGTACGCAGTCAACACACATCTCTGCTCATTCCGCCAGAGATCAGAATTGGGAAATCGAAAATTGCTGGTGCTGGTATGGGAGCATTTGCAAAGACGTTCATACCAAAAGGCACCCGGATTGGTCCGTACACTGGAGAGGTGATTGAAGAGGACGGCTTGAATCCCGAACGGGACAGCAGCTACATGTGGGAGGTAAGATGATCATTTTGTGGAGAAAGCTGTTATCAGATTGATCAGAGAGAAAGTAAGATTAATGACCACCTAGTCCATGTTTAGCTAGTTACTGTTTGTATGAGGATTCAAACCCGGGTTTGAAAATCTGCAAAATTTGGAGGAAAGGAAATCACGGTTCATATCCCGCAGACCCAGTCAGCCTGAGTTTTCCACATCCCTAAGAATGCCACCCATAACCCTCAAGGATCAAGATGTAGACGCAGCTGCTAAAGCATTGACGAGGTAGGGGAAGGGGGAGGGGTAGATCTGACCTACATGTACATCAAAGTACATCAAAGATCGAAAATCCCATTGGCTGCCCCTGTACGTGGTGTTGGTGTATTTGCATGCTGCTGTGGTGTAAAAAGCAGTCTTCGTCTTGAGTTTGTCATGTCCAGTGGTGTTTCCGCCGTCTTGCCATAAAATATCGTCTTTCAAGTGTAATTATCTCGTCATCTTGTATAAGTGTGGAGATGGCACGGGGCTGGGAGCATGAGAGAAAGTACAGTTACAACATTGGTGGCAGCGGTGGTAGAAATTGTTATACTGGAGAACGGCTAAATTTTAGCGGGCACATTTTTAGCGTTTTCTGAATCAGGACCCATTTGCGATGAAATAGTATTATGTTAGTGATCTGAGTTTCAGAGTTAAAAAGAGACGACTAGTACTGTACTGTACAGTGCGTATCGGTTATAGTGTGGTCGTATACAAGAATATACTGCCTACAAGAATGAACACTCATTTTTTCATAATCATAACACCTATTTTATGTGTATATTTATTCTTACAAGCAGTATTATCGCATAGTAGAATATATCGGCCCTAAGCATGGATTTTGTGTAGCAAAATATGCCAGATTAGTGCAAAGTGTATCGCCTGTAGTAATAACATCTGTGCTCTGTGCATGCTCAATACAATAATATTCAACACAAAAAGAGAGTTATGTCCAACTGAGCATTGGAGAATCACTTTTTCTGTCCAGTCGGACTCTTTCTTCCGACTTCTCTCCTATCTGCTGCTCCACAGTCGCCTAGCACGACCGCGAGTCTGATCCGTGTGTATCATGATTGTGTAAACCTACATGATTGTACGTGTCCACATGCTAAACATTTATTATGTCACACGTGCATATGATATGTCACACGTGATTTATCGTGTGTAAGAAATATCGGCAATAAGAATCGAATGTCGTTTTCAAACACCCACGCTATAACCGATACCTACTGTACATACAAAATTTCGATTGGCGCGGAAAAACTTCAGCGAAAACACTCCTTTCCGTAAAATCGCCTTTAAGTATCACCGTCGCTAAAATTATCCGTTTTACAGTAGCCTGTACATGTGCAGAACTCCACTTGTGGATTATTGTGTGGTATGCTGACTGATGTGGTGGGATATGTGCATGTGCGGGGATATACAATCCTGCCGGGTGTGATGTCAACCCGGGTCGAGCGCAATGCGTCTTGCAAACACTCCAATGCATCTTAGTACGTGTTTGGTTAAAATTCTTGGGTAAACACAGCCCAGACAATGGAGTACAGTACTGTTGGGCACCGAAGAACGGACCGCCGAAGAACGGCCAGGCTAGAATTTCACCATTTTTTAGAACGAAGTAGGCTGGATTTTTGCCGATAAGAACGGAAACCGTAATATACACTATAAGTAGAATATACACTCAGACTTATATCTCTGCATAAATGTACATGTAAGACTGTACCATCGATTAAGAACGAAACTGCTGTGTTCGCTAAAAATAAGAACGGGCTAGGCTAGAACCCTGCCCCCCCCCCCCCCCCCCAGTTCTCTGACCCCCGCCAGTGTTGTATGTGCTCACGAAAGCATAACAGAGGGTTGGAACATCTGTCACAATTTTGAGTTTTTGCACCCCACAACCATGAGATTGCTGAGATTTCAAAGGGTTTATGCCAGTCTGTGTGTGCAGAAAACTAAACGAACAGGTTTATTGTAGATTTCCCCAAGCTGTTACTAGCTCGCATCATTTTCTGAGTGGCCACGGGTATTGTATTATGAAGGTGTTCCGCAATGACTGCAATCTAATCCAACACCATCTTTAAGTTTTTGGCACAAAAGGTGGTGCCATGCGCAACGGATGTACCATGCACAATTTATACTGATCATTCTTGATCGGTTTAATCTTTGCTTGCTCTCCTGCTCTATAGGTTGCACCCACAGCGGCAGGGAAAAAGCGCTTGGTTGATGGCAAATCGGAGAAACATGCCAATTGGATGAGGTTTGTGAACTGTGCTCGTAACGAGGAAGAGCAGAACTTTGTCGCTTACCAGTACAAGGGTGAAATCTACTATCGGTCATTCCGTGACATTCGACCACACGATGAACTTCTTGTTTGGTATGGCAAAGAGTACGCAGTGGAATTGGGAATTTCAATGGAAAGCGCATCATCACTGCAGACATCAGAACCAAATCAAGATGTGAAAATTGGTATGTTCTACCTTAATCATTCATGTTGAAGGCATGTAGGTGTTCACACAGATTTTCTCACTACTACAGTTTACTGTTGGTCTCCGAAGAACTGGGGTATCAGGGTTACTAGGCAGTTCCTACTTGGTCCGCCCAGTTAAAATTGGCGCTTATCTTCACACTTGTCTCAGGAAAGAAATACGAATATTTGAAGCAAGCCACGATCACAAAGCACTATATACATGATTATTTACATGTCAGTAAGCAACTCAGTCGAAAATTCAAGCAAGTTACACATCCTCCTCGCCACTATCGTCGCTGGAGGAAGAGCTCAAAACGTACGATCCGGACAGCTGCTGCACGGGTCGTTTCATAGCTTGTTCCACTTCTCCTCGTCTCGAATCACGCTCAAAGGCAGTGCGTGCCTGTCACCTTCCCATCAGAAGCTGAGTGAGACTGCCCGCATGTTGACTGTAAGTGTTATCCCCGTTCGTCGCAATAATGCGACTTTGTTTGAGACAAAAAGGCAACGCCATATCAGTGTCCTTTTTTCAAATCGCCTCTTGCGCTTGTCGTACTTGCTGATCAGCACCCGTACCCACGCGAGCCGCTGGTGCTTGTACATGCAGCGCAGTGATAGCTTCCGCTTGATGTAGCACCTGTGCGTACTGCACCCACAACGCCGTGCACCAGGCTTTTCGGCTAGTTTCCTGAAAGTCCTTTGCACGAGTGTTTCTCTCAGGACTTGGTGTTTCCTTTGATTAGCTCCTTTGCCCTGTCCTCTGTGAGCTTCAAAGTGTGTCCGCCGGATTGGTCTCACTTACTGGAGACATCGACATGAGCTGCAGTTTCTTCGTCAGCGATTTGCTGGTGATAGCCCTTCACTAGGCGCTGTACTGTGCAAGCACTGAAATTCAAGCTTGCGAAGCGCTTTTTCAGCTTTTCTATACCTCCCCGGGGTAAACAATCCTTGCCATCAGACAGCTGGAAGTAGACAGAAACTGTATTCTCCATCGCTCTGAAATGCGAACATCCTGACCTATTTTACGGACTCGAGCGGAGGTTGCAGTGTTTTCTTGCGCTGACGGAAGTGTTTGTCGGCGGCAGCTCCGTCAAAAAGACTCAAACGAACCGATCGCAACTTCTGTGATGGTTTGTGCTGCCATGTCGTCGGATGCAATGGTCAATGGTCATGTTCGGATGGTGAATCGGTGGTTCCATGCCGTGTGGCACAGGCAGAACACCGAAAAACCAAGTGAGAAGATAAGCGCCAATTTTAACTGGGCGGACCAAGTATTTTCATGTACAGTGCTGGCAACTGAAATCCGACCCCCTGAGCTCACATCGCAAAGAATGTGAACCCACCGGTCAGGGGTCGGATTTCAGTTTCCTGCACTGTGCATGTACCACATTCTATGCACAGTTGAGTCACCGTGTATACACTGGTACGCTGTGCTTGGTGAAATTCTAGCCTGGTCCTTCTTCGGCGCTCTGTTTTTCGGCGCCCGGCAGTACTGTATTCCATATTGTGAACTAATGTGCTTGCTGCTTACCTACTCAAAGTAGCAAAAGACAATGACGAACCTCAGGGAAGCAAGATGAGATATGCTGCTTTACAGAATACGGAGCTTGGCTAGTCCAAGAAACCGATCCCCCCCCCCCCGAGCTCTATTTCATCCACACAACCCCAGCGTGCCTCGCATTACCAGGCAGCAGATCACATTGTCTAAAAAGAATGTTCTGTCTCTACTTTGCTCTCTCCAAATGCAGAGCCAAACCGTTTCAGGAAACCACAAATGGAACGAACAAGGAAAGTCGGTCCACGTCCAGCTCCTAAGGGTACTTCTCCAGAGCAACCGCTCTTACTCTCTGGTCTGATACGGAAGAGACCTCCATATGCAGCACAACATTGCAGCATGACACAGACAGCCAAACAAGCCAAGGTAATTCCTGATCCAAACATCAGCACCCACACAACGAATACTCCACTGCATACTGATAACGGTAACGAAAGCAATAGAGTGTATGTGCCGAAAAGTGAAGTGAAACGCATTATCCAATTGACCGCAAGGAAGAAGGAATTGAAATGCAAGGCATGTGGAGTAATCAGCAAAACCACCGAGGATCATATCAAGCATGGTCAGGGACATGTTGCTAGCTGTTATGCTGGGTACAAGTACCAGTGTAGAGAATGTGGTGACCTGTTTAGATGCAGTAGTAGCCTTGTTATACACCAAAGAAAACACACTGGAGAGAAGCCATATAAATGCAATGTGTGTGATGCAGCATTCACGAATAGTAGTAACCTTGCTACACACCAAAGAATACACACTGGAGAGAAGCCATATAAATGCAATGTGTGTGATGCAGCATTCAATCAGAGTTCCAGCCTTGCTACACACCAAAGAATACACACTGGAGAGAAGCCACATAAATGCAATGTGTGTGATGCAGCATTCAATCAGAGACCCAGCCTTGTTAAACACCAAAGAATACACACTGGAGAGAAGCCACATAAATGCAATGTGTGTGATGCAGCATTCAAACAGAGTGGTGACCTTGCTACACACCAAAGAATACACACTGGAGAGAAGCCATATAAATGCAATGTGTGTGATGCAGCATTCAATCAGAGTTCCAGCCTTGCTACACACCAAAGAATACACACTGGAGAGAAGCCATATAAATGCAATGTGTGTGATGCAGCATTCAATCAGAGAACCAGCCTTGCTACACACCAAAGAATACACACTGGAGAGAAGCCATATAAATGCAATGTGTGTGATGCAGCATTCAATCAGAGTTCCAGCCTTGCTACACACCAAAGAATACACACTGGAGAGAAGCCTTATAAATGCAATGTGTGTGATGCAGCATACGGTAGAAGTAGTATCCTTGCTACACATCACAAGAGAAGGCACACTGACAAGTGAGTTCTGAACCAGAGGAGAGAACCACACTCATTGTGTTATCATCAAGTCTATGTGATGATTGAATAAGTAATATTGAATACTGCAGTGAAGAACTGAGATGCAGCATTCACTCGGAGTAGTCACCTTACTGGACACCAAAGAACACACACTGGAGAGAAGCCATATAAATGCAATGTGTGATGCAGGATTTAGTGATAGGTCGTCACTGATTCACCACAACAAGGCAAGCTAATGGTCACATTCCCCTTTTCTGAAGAAGCTGAAGGCAAGGCACACTGCCATATGCCACAGAACAGAGCACAAGATATTTTCAGAAACTCTATATATTTAACTATTTCAAAAACCTGCTTTCAAATCACTGCGGTATCCAGTGGTCATAACTTAGCCAGTGAATATGCAACGCAATCAAATTGTTGCCATGGTGATTAAGAAACACTTGGACTACAGTGCTGTGGGGCATCGAAGAACTGGAGAGGGGGGGGGGGGGGGTCAGGGTTCTAGCCTAGCCCGTTCTTATTTTTAGCAAACACAGCAGTTTTGCTCTTATCCTATGGTACAGTCTTACATGTACATTTATACAGAGTTATACGTCTGAGTGTCCGTTATTGTGTGTACATGTGTTACGGTTTTCGTTCTTATCTGCACTATAAATTCAGCCTACAGCGTTTTTAAAAACATGTGACATTCTAGCTTGGCCGTTCTTCGGCGCCCGACATTTCTGTAATTGCTTGCTATTTACTTTGAATTGCATGAACTGTCTTTCACTACCAATGGTGGTATCAGTTGTACTTGTGAGTATGCCCCTTGTTTCCCCCTGTCGCTTCCCTGTTTTACACGCTTGAGTCAGAAAAAAGAGGACTGTGTTATATATAAGAAACGTTTTAATAAGTTTGAGATTTTATCACAGCCCTATTAGCTTATTCTTGATTCGCTTCTTTCGGAAATGTCGATTCAGCTGATCCTGCTGACCCATCTTCTTTTAAAAACTGTTGCCTCCGCATCTCTTGTTTTTTATTTATCAATTTAGCGCAGTCTATTTTTTAGGATGTTACTATGAAATGTTCCCTGCATCTTTGTATTTTGTGAAATATCACAAAAACAGAGTGAAAACAGGAACTGGAATATGCTGTGGGTGTATGGTGAAAACGAGGAAACAGCCGGGCACAAGTTAGGCATACCGGTATGTTACATGTTAAGAGTGTTTCACAAACTAGACGAGATCTCGAACAGTCGGAAGAGCACAAAGCTGAAAAAGGGGCACTGAGACATTCCACGGCATGAAAGTGAGCTTGAACACTGCTCGATACGACGATAGCGTTTCCTTGGCTCACCATCTGAGTTCATTGTGCCCTATATCAACACATTTTCATTATCGATCAAATTTCACTGATTGTGCTGCTTAATAAGCAGTTATAATTCGCTGCATCCAGGTTTCCCTCGTGCCGTATTTGCCAAGATATCGAAACAGTGCAAATGAGAATCATGACAGTTTCTGAGTACAAGAAATATCGGCGGATTTATTCTTCTTCAAAAACTATGACCTCTAGTGGCCAAAGTTTTAAAATGGTGGCCAGCTGTTTGTTTTTAAGATCGGCCATAACTTTGTAGGTTATACAATCATGTACAGTTGAACATCGATTATCCGACCACCTTTGGGCAGACAGCTGTCAGGCGGTGTTCAGATAAGGCAAATGTTCCGGATAAGAAAACACACTGTAAATACATGTACATGTACATTGTAAATAGAATAGAGTGCTACTTTTCAAAATTTTCGTATTTTTTGAATGGCTCACTACATGCACAGTGCGTACTCTACGGCACGTGCGCCCAGAAAAACTGTTACGGATAATCGAATGGTCGGATAGTCGATGTGCGGATAATCGATGTTCAACTGTACTTACACAATTGTAGTATTAGTGGTATTTATTATTTGACTAGGGGAGTCCCAACAGGCATGGCCTTGTTACAGGGAACCCTAGGTGAATCTTTGTGAGGTGAGCAAAAGTACCAGCAGATTGTGCCTGACGTAGGCCTTGGCGGATAATGCCGGCAGAAAAATTGGCAGAATTCGGTACTTTTTCTGGTACGTTTCATGCATGTTTGGTGTGTGGATAAAGAAATGGAGCAGAATTCGAGGAATTGCCCGTCATAAGGTTTGTATGGTTCTGCCAATTTCACTGCTTTTCGAGCAGAATCTGCCAATTTCACTGCTTTTCGAGCAGAATCTGCCAATTTCACTGCTTTTCGAGCATTATCCGCCAAGGGCTAGCCTGACGGCACACAGCAGTTGATAATGGTACACGAGTGTTGCAGCGGACATGTTGGATTGTAGAAAATATCCTCTGAATTTCAAGCTGTTTACTGATCACCAACAACTACAGTTTACTGTAATGGCATCATTCCCTTATTCATGGTTCTGCCATACACAAAAGGGACAAAGGAGATTTGTAGAGTTTGTTGCAAGTCCGAGTTTTGATTCGGCGGAAATAATGCCATGGTTACATGTATATGCATGGTCACCAGGGAGTATACTAAGAGCGCATTCGAATTGTCTTCATCAACTGTTCAAGCAAATTTTATAAAGAGATTAGTTGAACTGTCCCATTAGAACGGTTTCTATCATTTTAGAGTTTTTCAGTGGAATTGTCATGGCGATGATGACGTCCGGTCCGATCGACCATCTCCACGTACTACGTGACGTAGCTATTCCAACCTCTTCGAAACTAATCCACCTCTCCCATCGGGTGAGGTTGTGGAGTTTCGAGGAGCTTCGTTTTTTCTGAAGAGCCCAATAAGGCCACCTCTTCAGAAACGAAACTCCTCGAAAAGTCAAAGAGTGGCAATTCGAATGCGCTAAAAGTCTAAAACACCTTTTTCTAGTATTCCTGATGGTCACTGCTTGGGTGAGGGGAGCTCATAAAGATCGGAAAGTGTCGTTTATGAGCGAGCATAGAAGTGGGAGAAGTGAATTGGGAATAGTGGCCAGGGTGAGGAGATAATTCATACTCCAAGCCTGCTATTGGTTCTAGCAAGAGTAGATAAACAAGAGTGTGCAACTCCGCGATGGGTTGGCCCGGCCACGGCGGAATTTTTTGTTGACGTAATCTTTTCGACGACGCACGCGCTGCGAGTCGTTTCGGAAAGTTTTCCCTCGTGCTCTTGGCCGGCTTTACACTACAAGGTCGGTGCCCAGCACGTGCGCTCACATGCTCTGCGGCAAAATGCGCGTTCTTCTGAAAAAAGGTGACGTCAACAAAAAATTCCGCCGTGGGCGGGGGTATCTGCAGATTATGCAGGAGAGATCCGGAGTTGCACACTCTTGTTTATCTACTCTTGGTTCTAGTAGTAGTATTACAATAGTACTATTTTTGCTTATGGAGTGAAATTCTTCAAGAATGAATATGTGCCAGGGAGTCGTGCCAACTACCCAAGCCATTTTTTGGGTATGACTCCCTGGTCATATCATGCTGTCTGATAAGTGTTTCACACAAAGCTCAGGGTAACGACGGAAAAGGACTTGGTTGCGTCATTGCTGTGGGATCATCATTGTGGTATAAACTATAAATACATACACAGGGCCTGCTCTAGACATTCAACACAGCCCGGTCAGAGTGTACCTGGCGCATGCAGGCCAGCCGGGTCAGATCATCCGGCAGAAAAACAACCAAAAAGCCTTCTCAAAACGCAAGAAAACAGAAAGGGGAATTTATTACCGGAAATCGGAAATTTTAGAGAACAAGGGCTCTAGTACGCTCACGTCCATCCCAGTATCGGAACATGGGCTGTGTTTCGACGCGAAAGCCGATTTCCATGATCATGTCCACCTGCGCTATGGCTGGCCCTTGGATAGGCTGCCGGATACCTGTCCCTGTGGAGAGCGGTTCACTGGGGACCATGCCCAGATATGTAAGCTGTCGGGCTTCATTCACATGCGCCATGATGAGGTCACCAATTTCCTAGCCTCATGCATGAAAGAGATCCACAACGATGTGGAAGTTGAGCCGACACTCCAACCCATCACCGGTGAAGCCTTTCGCTATCGTACTGCCAATGTTGAGCCCGATGCGCGAGCGGACATCCGGGTGCGGGGCTTTTGGAACCATAGCCGCAATGCATTTTTCGATACGAGGGTGTTCTATCCCCACGCAGCGAGCTATCGGTCCCAGCCCATTGCATCTATTTATCGCAAGTTGGAAGGTGCCAAGAAGCGGGAGTATGGCGAAAGAGTTAACCAAGTTGAACATGGCTCGTTCACACCACTGGTCTTCTCCTCTTGCGGCGGAATGGGTCCAGAGGCAGCCATCGTCGTCAAGCGGATTGCTGATGCTCTGGCTTCTAAGCGCAAGGAGAGCTACAGCAAAGTCGTTTGCTGGATGCGCTGCTGCTTGGCTTTCTCTCTTGCTAGGTCTGCGATCCGGTGCGTTCGAGGATCACGCTCCGTTCGCCGCCGTCACATCAACCTTGTGCCTGTCGACCTCGTCCAGGCTGAGGCTCGCCTTGCTACGCATTAGACTGTCTTCACAGCCATTTTAGCTTCCTCCTTATTGGACTGTTTTCACAGCCATTGTAGCTTCCTCCGTATAAGACTGTTTTCACAGCCATTTCAGCTCATTTTCTCTCGGTAGAAAAAAAAAAAAAAAAAAATACCGAGCACCTTACGTAGAAAGTTACGTAGCATAAAAAAAAAAACAAGGTGAACTATCAAAGTCCGCAAACGTAGAAGGTAAACGACATTACGTGAAGAATGCAAAGCAGTTCCATTGGATTCTGATTTAACAATTTGAAAAAAAAGGATTCTGTTTTCTAATTAGTGCTAGTAGCAGGACGAACACGTTCACATGTTAGAGCTGATCGTGCTCGAACCGGTTGACCCTACCCTAGCCGAGTTTCTGTCGCTTGTACTGTAGTGTGTACCTGGTGTACGGTTGCGCTAGATTTGCAACAGATGGGGTCCGCGAGTCGTAAAATGCCGGTATTTTAGGAATCCATTGTCAGTTTGAGACATTTTTCAGCCGGGTCAGACTGGACCCGGTGTTATCTGTCCAGCCAGGTCGTGCAGTTCCCCAGCCGGGCGCGTGACCCGGCTGACCCGGCTCTCCAGCAGGCCCTGATACAGAACAGAATGTTGTTCTGTGTATTACGCTCTGTCTCCACGGTGTTGAGCACTGTCAGCACACTGGGTAGATCTACATCCTCCGGTATAAATACATACATGTATGTACAGTGCTGGTAACTGAAATCCGACCCCCGAGCTGTGCGCTCACATCGCAAAGACCCAACACGGGATGATAAAACTACGAAACAGAGACCGCTAGAATGTGAAGGCACCGTTCAGGGGGTCGGATTTCAGTTGCCAGCACTGTACATTATGTATTTACATACCGGAGGATGTACCCAGTGTGCCGACAGTAGCCCTTTCCCAAAGATGCTCGCCACTTTTTAGCAACTTTTGGTTGTTTT